TTCAGGAGGATTAATCCGCACAAAGCAACTGGCCCAGACAACATCCCCGGAAAAGTGTTGAAGGAATGTGCTGATCAGCTCTGCGAGGTGCTGGCAGACATCTTTAACACCTCACTTACCCTGGAGACAGTTCTCACCTGCCTGAAGACTGCCACCATCATCCCAGTCCCAAAAAGCTCTACAGTGACTGGTCTGAATGACTATCGGCCAGTGGCCCTCACTCCGATAGTTGCTAAATGCTTCGAAAAACTGGTCATGACTCACATCAAAACAACCATCAACATCAACGAGGACCCTCATCAGTATGCATACCGTGAGAACCGATCAACAGAGGATGCCATCTCCTCTATGGTCCACACTGCTCTCAACCACCTGGAGCAGAAAAATTCTTACGTCCGTATGCTCTTTGTGGACTTCACATCCGCCTTCAACACTATGATCCCCCAAACCCTGATGGACAAACTATCCACACTAGGACTAAGCCCCTCCATTTGCAACTGGGTCCTAGACTTCTTAACAAACAGACCACAGTTAGTGAGGATACACAACTTCTTCTCCTCCTCTACCATAACCCTCAGCACTGGCTCTCCTCAGGGATGTATGTTGAGCCCCCTCCTGTTTACTCTGCTCACGTATGATTGTGCAGCTACCCATTTAAGCTGTCACATTGTAAAGTTTGCAGATGATACAGTGGTGGTGGGATGCATCACAAACAATGATGAGTTGCCTGGGCTTCGCAAACTTTTACAGGCGATTTATTAAGAATTATAGCCGTGTCGCCGCCCGCCTGTCTCAGCTCACTTCCACCGCCCGAGCTTTTCATTGGACCCCTGAGGCTGAGACCGCCTTCAAGAGGCTCATATCCCTCTTTTCCTCCACGCCCATCCTATGCCATCCAGACCCCACACACCAGTTCATACTGGAGGTGGACGCCTCTGACACTGGTGTAGGGGCGGTCCTTTCCCAGAGATCGCCTGCAGACAACAAGGTTCATCCCTGCGCCTTCTTTTCCTGATGTCTCTCGCAGTCTGAGCGCAATTACGACGTGGGCAACCGCGAGTTGTTGGCAGTCAAGCTCGCGCTAGAGGAATGGCGGCACTGGTTGGAAGGCATGGATATTCCTTTTTTGATTTGGACCAACCACAAAAATTTGACATATCTTAGGAACGCCAAGCGTCTGACGCCCCGTCAAGCTCGCTGGTCGCTTTTTTTTTAATAGATTTAATTTTGTCCTTACTTTCCGTCCGGGCTCTAAGAACGTCAAACCCGACGCCCTGTCCAGACAGTTTGCTCCTCCTGACTCCCCTGAGGGCTCCGATACCATTGTTCCCCCCACCTATGTTGTCGGCTCCCTCTCCTGGCCCATCACCGCTACCATTCAGGAGGCCCTCCTCTCCGAACCCGATCCTGGTGGTGGTCCCCCCGGTACCCTCTTTGTTCCTTCCAGCGTGCGGTCCGACGTGCTCCAGTGGCTCCACTCGAACAAACTCTCTTGCCACCCTGGAGTCAACCGCATGCTGGCCCTCACTAAGACCCATTTCTGGTGGCCCTCCATGTCCAAGGACATTAAAGACTTTGTTTCGGCCTGTCCCGTCTGTGCCAGAAATAAGTCTGGTACCCAACCTCCGGCTGGCCCCCTGCTTCCCCTCCCAACCCCTAGTCGCTCCTGGTCTCACATCGCCCTCAACTTTGTTACCGGTCTTCCCCCGTCTGACGGCAACACCACCATCCTCACGGTTGTTGACCGTTTTTCCAAAGCTGTTCACTTTGTTCCCCTTCCTAAGCTCCCTTCTGCCCTCGAGACCGCTCACCTTCTTACCCTGCATGTTTTCAGGCTCCATGGCATCCCTGCGGACATCGTCTCCGACCGCGGCCCGCAGTTCGTCTCCCAGGTGTGGCACTCCTTTTGCAAATCGCTCGGGGCGTCCGTTAGCCTTACCTCCGGCTACCATCCTCAGGCTAACGGACAAGCCGAGCGCTGCAATCAGGAGTTGGAGTCCACCCTGTGCTGCCTGGTCGAGTCTAACCCATCCTCATGGAGCCAACATTTGGTTTGGGTGGAATACGCCCACAATTCCCACCGTTCCTCTGCCACCGGTATGTCCCCCTTCGAGGCCTCCCTTGGGTACCTTCCTCCTCTTTTCCCCAGTCTTGAGCTCGACTGCGCGGTCCCATTCGTGCAGCATCACTTCCGGCGTTGTCGTCGCGTCTGGCGCCAGGCCAAGGCGGCCCTCCTTAGGACCGCGGCCCAGGCTAAACGGTTTGCGGACCGCCACCGTTTAGCGACACCCGCCTACCAGGTTGGCCAACAGGTTTGGTTGTCCACCAGGGACATCAAACTGCGGGACACCCCCCGCAAGCTGGCCCCCCGCTTCATTGGGCCCTTCCCCATTACCCGCATCATTAACCCCTCTGCGGTTTGTCTACATATCCCCAGGTCCATGAGGATTCACCCGACCTTCCATGTTTCCCAGGTCAAGCCTGTCTCCCTCAATCCCTTGTGCCCCCTTCTGACCTCCCCCCGCCGCCCTGCCTGATCGACAACCACCCTGCGTTCACCGTCAGATCCATCCTGGACGTGCGACGCAGGGGTAGGGGTTTCCAGTACCTGGTCGATTGGGAGGGGTACGGTCCTGAGGAGAGGTCATGGATCCCCAGGTCCTTTATCCTCAATCCCAGCCTCATCTCCAGGTTCTTCAGAGACCACCCCGAGAAGCGCCTCAGGTCGCCTGGAGGCGATTCTTGGGGGGGGGGGGGGGGGGTACTGTAAGGGTCCCACTGCCTGCAGCCTGCCTTGCTGATGGCCGCTGATTAACAACACCTGGCGGTCATCAGCCTTATGAGCCTCTCCATCTACAAAAGGCTGCATCCCAGTGTGACTCATCGTTGGAGCATATCACCTCTCTTGGTATAGTACTGTTGAGCTAGATATGTCTAGGTGAAAAGAATTTGTTCACCTGTGTTCTCTTTTCCAGTTTCCTGGTTCCTCGTGTTTTTGGATCTCCTCGTGACCTGATCTGGATCCCTCGGCCTGTCAGGTATTCCTCGTGCCATTTTTGCCTCCAGTTGCCAGCCTTCCTCGTTCCCTTGGACCCTCGTTGGATTTCCCTCTGCTGCTCACTCCTTGGACTGAAGGACCAGCTCCCCTCCTTCGGGTTTGGACTGTAAGGACAAAAACGCTCTTCAAACAAACCACTCAGGTCTTCCCCTCTGGACCAACATTAACCTGTCGTCCCTCTTTCCAGGAGTTGCTGAGAAGCAGCGTGTGGATTTATTCTCACTGTAAATAATAAACACTGTTCTTTTGTACTTCCCCTGTGTCTGCCTCGTTCTGGGTCTCATACCATCTGGGTTACCCGCGCAATCCTAACACAAGTCAAACATGACCCACTTCAGCAGAACTTTACATTTACAGCACCGCTGTTAAAGGACTGGAAAACAAAAAAGCAATGGAAACCAACTCAGTCTAGAAAAACTTAATGTGAATGTATCTGTATAACATGTAAATATAATGTTTTGTATCTTTAGAATTTTTTACCCTTTGTACCATTTTATGACCAAATTGTTCTTTCTATACTTTTGTACCTACTAATATACCCCTGGCAGACAGTTTGTAAAATTGATAAAGTTTTGTAATAAAATAATTTTAAAAAAGAAAAAAAGTTGAACATACCAAACACTGCACCTGCAGAAATACACTAATGTAAATAAAAAAATTAATTTTAGCCCATACTGATATAGGATTATTAAAATCACATACATCATTTTACTGTAATTATATTAAATACATGAGTGAAATGGGTTAGATAACATCTTCACTGTTGCACATTACTATAACATTTTTGACATTTAAATGCCAAAACCACCTTATCATGAGCAGAATGAAGTGTTCCCACATGTTAGAACAGCCTCTTTTCCTGGCTGCCTCTAATTATTCAATTCAAACTAACAGCAGAAACACTCCTACTCTCCAACACAAACATTTTAGAGCTGTTTCGTAGTGTTCAGCTCTCAATTCAAAACTGTCTCAACCTGTCACCTGTCAGAATCGAGACGAGGCGGTGTCAGGGAATCAGCTGTTTGGACCACGAACCAGTCAAGCGATTCATTCCGACAACGAAACAGTTTGTGTTTCGGACGTCACGTATCACGTGACTTTTTCCGCACCAAAACAGGCTCCGAAGCAGTGCTCCGATGTAATTTTACTGCAGGGTTCGAAGCATGTTTTGAAGCTTTTGTTTCATACTACCATCACTACCTGGGACTTTATTAACAATAAAAAAATGAGTAGTGCATGCATATGTATTCACCCTCTTTGCTATGAAACTTCATCAAGCATTCAGAAGCCAGATTCACCCTTGAGCAACCTTATGTGTCAGATGTCATCAGTTTGAATCCACCTGCTTTTATAGCCCCCAGAATGATCATCAGAGTAACAACTGTAAGTAGTAAGGGCTACCACCAAGCAAAAGATATCACAAAGACAATAGAATGATCTGCACAGATCAGAGACGAAGCTGCAGAGGAGTACAGATCGGGGTTTGGTAAAACAATATGTTAGAACCTCAGAACCTCCTACAGAGCTCTATCAAATTTATTATTAGTAAAAGGAAAGATGATGCCACCACAGCAAACCTGCCAGGAGAGGGGTTGTCCCCCAAATTTTACAGAGGGTGTAAGAAAGGTGTAAATCAGAAGGCACTTTCACTAAATGATGTTGTGGAATGGATGGAATAAAAACTGTGCACAGATTTGAGCTTTCAGAAATGGAGTGTTGCATGTAACTAAATGAAGTGTGCAGGACTACACGTAAAATTTGTAGCAGACATCTCCACCATACCAAAACACATAAAATTCTTTATCTTTGTGGTTAGCAAATTTTTTTGTTTATTTTCAAAGTTGATGTGCATCATCATTGATTTTCTCTTTATTGAATCTGTTTAGTATTGTTTAAGCCATTAACTCCTGCAGCCGGGTGGTCGCATGGACTATATGTTACTTTATCACAACATTGTGCTGCAACACCGACTTACACTTTTACATCTGAAGTAGTCTTACATTCTTTCTCTTTCTATTTAGAAGTTACACAAAGACAGCGAGAAAGCCTCACTATCTACTCAAATTGTTTTATGAAAATGCTTCAGAAAACACCCAGGAGGCCAAAGATAACCCTAATGGAGCTGCAGCTCTTCTGCAGAGATAGGAGGATCTGCCTCTTCCATGAAGCTGCACATAACTAGGCTTCATGGAAGAGGGGTCAGAAAAAATGGTAAATGGACTGTACTTATATAGTGCCTTTCTATCTTATTTCAAGATACTCAAAGCACTTTACACTACAATCTGTGCCCTCATTTACCCATTCATACAGCACTCTACATCTGCATTGGAGGATGACTGCTCTAACCATTCAGCCACAGCTCCCCCTCCCCCCACCTGAAAATAACAAGTGCCAAAAAACACAATAAAACTCCCCCAATTTGGAAAATGTACTGTTGTCAGATAAGACTAAAAGGAAACTTCATCAAGAAGACCACTTCTGCTTCAAACCAACCACTGTCTCATCATGCTAAGAACACCATCATCTTCACCGTTACAGTGAATCATGGGGGTGGCAGCAGCATGCTGTGAAGATATTTTGTAACAGTAGACATGGTCGGAGCTAAAGAAAAGATGGATTTAGGAAAATACAGAGACATTCTTGATGAACACCTGGAGGTGTCTAGGGTTGAGCATTTCTGGTCTGTGACCGATATGATATGAATCTTGATACACTACCATCAAGTGTGAGAACATTTGAGTCTAGTTGTCCCATGTATGTATGCAGTTGTTATGGGTCAGAAGAATAGCTAAACATAAAATGTGTTGTATCTGATATTCTCAGCAGCCAGTGCACAGAACCATCATTTTTATAACTGCATCATTCAACCACGGTTAGAGTTCAGGGTTTGGGCAATTTGCTTGTTTATGTCACATACTGTTTTTTTGGGGGAGGTGCGTACATATGTACTTGGAGAGTAAGGCAGTACTGGTTATCCCTCTTGATCAACAAAGGAAGACTGACAATGATCATGTTTGTATCCATGAGTTTGTTTCTAAAATAGCCCATGAACCACTGAACAAATGCTCATTAAACTTGCAATAAGTGATCATTGCTTGTATTTCAACAACTGATTACCTTTTCTCTTGGATGTTAGGGCGGCGCACAGGAAGTGCAGCAGCTTGTCATGCTCCCGGGTTTAAGCCTTATTTTAATTCCTATGAGGCTGTTTTAGGCACTGGTTCAGTGCTGGATTCGCGGCTCAGATACAGCTCAACCGAGCTGATGGCCATCCGAGACAGTTCGGTTTGAAATCCGCACTTGCCAGTCAGCGGCTGAGGACAATGAAATAGTGCAGTGAGGGCGAGGAGCAATGGTCAGGAGGAGGAGGGGAAGCAGGGGTGCATTGGCCCAGCTAAAGGCTAGTGAAACCACTGATTCCTACTCTCTTTCTGGCCAGTGTCTGCTCACTGGATAACAAAGTGGACTTGTTACATCTGAGAATGAGTGTTTCTACAGATTCAATTCAATTCAGTTTATTTATATAGCGCCAAATCACAACAAAGTTGTCTCAGGGCACATTACAGGAACATTCACAAACATAAAAGCTAATTAGTAAAGTTCTCTATCTAAGGAATCCAGCAGACAAGTTGAATCTTGGCTTCATTGCAGTCTCCCATCCTGAACAAGCACAGTGGCAACAGTCGAAAGAAAAAACTCCCTTTTAAAAGGAAGAAACCTCCAGCAGAACCAGGCTCAGGACAAGCGGCCATCTGCTTTGACCGGGTGGTTGAGAGGACAGGA